TTTTGGCTCAATAGCGTATGTTCATATACCAGAGTAAAAACGACGAAACCTTCTGGTTGATACATGTAGATTTTCTCATCTATTTTTCCATTAAGAAAAGCAGTGACAACATCCAAATGTTCCATTTCAAGGTTAAATTGAACATGGTAGCAATTTGATATTTGTTCTTGAAAATCATCATCAGTCTTACTTGCCTGCTGTTCATCATTCGCATTATCGCGTCCAATCTCAATTTCTTCATTTTCGTTTTGAGAATCGAATAGTTACAAAATTGGCGCAAATACTTTTGTAAAAGGTTTTTCGTTTTCGGCCATCTGATTGGTGAAAAACTGATCTTCTAAAAATACACCATCTCTAGCTCTGCATATCTCATTTGTTTTTGGATTGAAAAGTCTATATCCCATGGCTTCTTTAGAATACCCAACAAATAGGTACCATTTTCTGGCTTCTGGGATCCAACTTTCATCGCTTTTGCTCTGGTACATCAAACTTTGTTTGATTTTTCTGAGCCAAAAACATTTAATGAATCAATTTCTAGTGATTCTTCTTCAGAGTGGAGAGTTGCAATGCAAGATGAAATTGATTCACTTCATGAATCTGGCACATGGATTCTAGTTGAAAAGACAAAAGAAGTTAACACTGTCAAATCTAAATGGGTGTACAAAGTAAAACAAGATACCGATGGAAACAATGTATGTTAGAAAGCCAGTCTATTAGCCAAGGGGTTCACACAAGAATATGACATAGATTATTACTTTGATACTTTTTCACCACTGATTAAATATTCACCAATACCTTTGCTTTTTGTATTGGCTGGTCAATTCAACTTTGAAATGGAAATTTGGATGTTGTCACTGCTTTTTTTAATGGAGAACTAGATGAGAAAATCTACATGTATCAACCAGAAGGTTTTATCGTTGAGGGGAAGGATAATAAAGTGTGTCTTCTTCGAAAAGCATTATACGGACTAAAACAAGCTTCAAGATCCTGGAATAAGAAAGTTGACAAGGTTTTACAAGCAGTAAGCACACGAAAGTTGCATCTAAACTATGAAGAAAAAGAACTCCATAGTTATCATTGCACTGTACGTGGACGACTTTTTTATTTTTCACAATGATTAAAATGAAGTTGAGGAATTAAAGAGGCAACTATCACGTCACTTTAAAATCAAAGATCTTTGAGCTATACATAACTGTTTGGGCATGAAAGTACAGAAAAATCGGAATGGTAGTATTTCATCAGTCAGAGAAAGTATGTCATGGATGTACTAAGGAAGTTTGGGATGTTGGATTGTAAACAAATCAGTACACCAATGGATTCAAAAATGAAACTGCCATTACTGAGCAAAAAGGGCCTGAATGTGCCATATCAGCAACTAATTGAATGTCTAATGTATCTCAGTGTCACTTCTAGACCTGACATTGCTTATGCATGCACTTATTTGAGCCAGTTCAATACTAAGTATGGTCAAGAACACTGGCAAGCTGCGAAGCGCGTATTAAGATATCTCAAAGAAACAGCAGACAGAGCATTAGTTTATCGGAAATCTGAAAAAGAATTGACTGGATACGCCGATGCAGATTGGGTAGTGAGTAGAAGTATAGTTATTTCACTTGTAGAAAAAAGATTGTTCTTAACACGTGCGCAAAGTAGTTTTACCGTACTTAAAGCTTATCCGAATTCCGCTTCGCGTCGTTCGTCCAACTACTTTCGCGTGCGGGAAAACATAAATTTGCGCACTGATTAGGAAAACTACTGTTATTTCTTTCACCGTCCTTGGTATTAGGAATTTGGTAATTGCCGTTTTTTTTTTTTTTTTGAATTTGGTTTTATTCCATTTGGCGTGATTACGTGTCCTAAGTGCGCGTTCATATTGACACCGCTCGAGCGGTGAGCGTTGCGCGATGCCGCTGTAGCGATGTCCAAAAATAATTTTAACATTTTATTTCAAATGAACATGTTAACACCGCGCGACACGCCGCCCCAGTGTGAACTTGTTCATTTGAAATATAATGTTAAAATTATTTTCCTACGAGCGTGCGCAAAGTAGTACTTTTCCGCACGCATTACAGTTCTCAAAGTTTCACTTTTCCGCACTCAGTGCGGATACGGGCCTTATCCGCACTGAGTGCCGAAAAGTAAAAATAATTGTCAAGCAACAATCAGTGCACCTGTCGACTTTGACACATGATGACAAATTTGTTCTCTGTTTCTATATCAGCCAACATCTATACAAACACTGAATATAATTAACTTTGACACATTGTCAGATTTGTGTTCTCCATTTACATGCAAGAATCTACAAACTTCTTTCGCATCAAATTTAAACGCTTTAAGATGAACAGCTCTGACGAGGATTTCAATTTTCTGTTTTTCTGTTATGTATTTTATTGATGAATGAATAGGTTCGCTTCAAGTTAATTGAAAATAATTGCACAAATTATCGTTTTTTTTTTTAAATTTTTGTTGTTACCTACCTGATATGAAGCTCGTAGGAAAAATTTTGTTCCTAACACGTGCGCAAAGTGTCTTTTCCGCACGCAAACACTTATCCGAACTCCGCTTCGCGTCGTTCGTATAACTGTGTTTGTGTGCGGAAAAGTAACACTTTGCGCACTTGTTAGGAAAATAACTATTTCCTACGAGCGTGCGCAAAGTAGTACTTTTCCGCACGCATTTCGGTTCTCAAAGTTGCACTTTTCCGCACTCAGTGCGGATACAGGCCTTATCCGCACTGAGTGCCGAAAAGTAAAAATAATTGTCAAGCAACAATAAGTACACCTGTCGACTTTGACACATGATGACAAATTTTTCCTCTGTTCCTGTTCCAGCTAACATCTATACCTACAAACACCAAATTTAATTAACTTCAACACATTGTCAGATTTGTTTTCTATATATATGCATCTACAAACTATCTCATCAAATTTATAGCATTTTCCATTTGTCGAAACAGGGCAAAAAAATGTATCCTTATCCTTACATGTTACATGCTTTTAGAAAAAGATGCGGATGCACTCAGTGCGGCACTGATGACAAATGGAAATCGCCATTAAACGCTTTAAGATGAAGAGCTCTGACGATGATTTTCTGTTATATTTTTTTTTTGTTATGTAATTTTTTGATAAATGCATAGGTTCCCTTCAAGTTAATTAAAAATAATTAAACAAATTATCGTTTTTTTTTTAAATTTTTGTTGTTACCTACCTGATATGAAGCTCGTAGGAAAAATTTTGTTCCTAACACGTGCGCAAAGTGTCTTTTCCGCACGCAAACACGTATCCGAACTCCGCTTCGCGTCGTTCGTATAACTGTGTTTGCGTGCGGAAAAGTAACACTTTGCGCACTTGTTAGGAAAATAACTATTTCCTACGAGCGTGCGCAAAGAAGTACTTTTCCGCACGCATTCCAGGGCTCAAAGTTACACTTTTCCGCACTCAGTGCGGATACAGGCCTTATCCGCACTGAGTGCCGAAAACTAAAAATACTTGTCAAGCAACAATAAGTGCACCTGTCGACTTTGACACATGATGACAAATTTTTTCTCGGTTTCTATATCAGCCAACATCAACACAAACACCAAATATAAATTAACCTTGACACATTGTCAGATTTGTTCTCTATTTATATGCAAGAATCTACAAACTTTATCATCAAATTTAAATGCTTTAAGATGAACAGCTCTGACGAGGATTTTCTGTTATTTTTTTTATTAGGTAATTTTTTGATAAATGTATAGGTTCGCTTCAAGTTAATTAAAAATAATTGAACAAATTATGGGTTTAAAAAAAAAAAAAAATCTTGTTACCTACCTAATATGAAGCTCGTAGGAAAAATGTTGTTCCTAACACGTGCGCAAAGTGTCTTTTCCGCACGCAAACACGTATCCGAACTCCGCTTCGCGTCGTTCGTATAACTGTGTTTGCGTGCGGAAAAGTGACACTTTGCGCACTTGTTAGGAAAATAACTATTTCCTACGAGCGTGCGCAAAGTAGTACTTATCCGCACGCATTTCCGGGCTCAAAGTTACACTTTTCCGCACTCAGTGCGGATACAGGCCTTATCTGCACTGAGTGCCGAAAAGTAAAAATAATTGTCAAGCAACAATAAGTGCACCTGTCGACTTTGACACATGGTGACAAATTTTTCCTCTGTTTCTATATCAGCCAACATCAATACAAACACCAAATATAAATTAACCTTGACACATTGTCAGATTTGTTCTCTATTTATATGCAAGAATCTACAAACTTTATCATCAAATTTAAACGCTTCAAGATGAACAGCTCTGACGAGGACTTTTCTTTTTTTTTTTTGTTAGGTAATTTTTTGATAAATGTATAGGTTCGCTTCAAGTTAATTAAAAATAATTGAACAAATGATCGGTATTTTTTTAAATTTTTTTTGTTACCTACCTGATATGAAGCTCGTAGGAAAAATGTTGTTCTTAACACGTGCGCAAAGTGTCTTTTCCGCACGCAAACACGTATCCGAACTCCGCTTCGCGTCGTTCGTATAACTGTGTTTGCGTGCGGAAAAGTAACACTTTGCGCACTTGTTAGGAAAATAACTATTTTGGGCATCACTACAGCGGCATCGCGCAACGCTCACCGCTCGAGCGGTGTCAATGTGAACGCGCACTAAGATTCGACTGTCTTGTGTAGGAGTTCCGATTTGTCTAATTGTATTTTTAAATCAAACTTTTCGAATCTCTCAAATATTTTCTTCAAATTTTTCACATGTTCATGAAGTGAAATGAAAAAAATTATTACATCATCCATGGATACTAGACATATTCTATTCCGTAATCCTAGTAATACATTATCCATCACTCCTTGGAAGGTTGCTGGTGCGTTCTTTAATCCAAAGGGCATTCTGTTAAATTCGTAATGACCATTTTGTACATTAAATGCTGTCTTGGGTATCGAATTTTCATGCATCTCGACTTGATGCAAGCCAGAGGCTAAATCCAGTGTCGTAAAATAATAACTACGACCAAGTCAGTCTAATATATCAGTATCAGTAATATTAGTTAGTGGATATCTATCACCAATAGTTTTTTCGTTTATCTTTCGATAATCAACGACCATTCTCCATTTTTGTATGCCTGCGACATCTTCCTTCGTAGGTACTATCCACACAGGGGATGACCATATTTCAAGCTGTTCATCAGCATAAGGTAAACTTATATCCGCCAAGTTATTGTGATGATTAGGTGTTGGGACTGCTGGTGTTGTGTTGAGGATTGATATTTAAAGAATTGCTTAAACAAACTCAAGGAGCATTTATTAGGTTAATTTAGTTGGTCAAGAGTTGGTGAGAGAGAGTGAGAGAGCGAGCAATGACAACCGTGACATCACAAGCTCTTTGACAACAGTATTAAGTTAATTAATTATTTAAGCAATAGCAACATATGACAAATGCGAAAACAAAGAATAAAAGAAGAGCAAATAAAAATCAAAGTAGAAGGTAGAAGCAACATTGCAAACCTAACCTATAAACTAAATTTAAATTGTAAATAAACAATATAAGCAAATCGAAACTATTTAAACATTACAGTTAATAATGTTATAAGATAAGAGAGAAAAATGGGCTTATTCATTAGGTTGTGTACTTCTAAAGTAACCATCTGATTCATGACGGTTGTTATTGTCGAGGGTGATATAATATGTTTAATTTTTTATTGGAGGTGTAAGAATTTCAACGCCAGCCAGTACTGAAATAACATACTTGAATTGAGTGGCTTGAAATCTCAAAATTTCCATTTTCGAAATCTGTTCTATTGCTTTATTATTAGAAAGAAGCATATTAGAAAAATTTCAATTTAAATTATTTTTTTGCAATGCTCTGATTTCAATAATTCCATCATAATAGTCATGGAAATTATACATTATCATTTCAATGTTGTTTTGAATATTATATTCTTGTAAAATTGGGACATTGATTTTTCCTTGTACCCATACAAGTTGTTAACTTATTTCGTGAATTAATTATAGAATTTGAAAAATTTTCCTCTGCGATTGAGGGTTTTATTAAAGAGGCATGACTTCCTGTGTCAATTAATAATTTACACGGTGGATAGTCTATTTGAATAAAAGGTAGTTGGTTGATTTGATAAGCATTTGAAGTTAATGCTCACTCATTGCATCCAAGGATGGTAACTGAAAATTTTTGTCTTTAGCTTCGACTCGATTTTCTTCAAAATTTGTCTCTTCATATTAATTTTGATTTTCGGAATATTCTTCAGTTTCAAATTTTTTATCAGGGTCAGATAATTCTATTTCAAAGATATTATTAATCTCTTCGATTGTATATTTTGAAGGGCCTGCTTGTGGATCAGGTTTGAAATAATTATTGGGTCTGTACTGATGCTGATTTTGTGCTGGTGGTTGCAATGAAACTCCGGACATAGGTGTCGGTTTCGAAAATTGCTGATTCGTGTTTTCTCGAAAGGCATTATTATAATTTTTGATTTGAGTCTCCTCAGCAAACCGTTTTCGAATTGTAAAAGAACAAAAATCTGAAATGAATTCTTTTCGGTAAATCAAAAATTAGAAATTAAAAAAGATCAAAAATCCAAAAATCTTATGTTTGAAACACCAATTACAAAATGTTTAAAGAAAAAGGATACTTACTAGGCACGATGCTAATAACAGTAGATAATCTTTCTTCACACGTTGTTTCTTGTTATTCCTTTTATTCAGTTAACCAATTTGATGTGGACAGTATCTGGAACGTTTAATAGCAGCACTGATAATCCAAATTTCACTTTCCCGAAGAATTCACTTTTTCGAGCTTACTTCAGTCCTTTGAAATTTTCGCGACGAATTACAACTGTAATCAGAGATAACCGAAACTCAGCACTCTGAGTATCCGTTTGACTGCGCCAATTATATTTTTGATTCAGAAAGTTGTACTTTAAAAAACATTTATTTATTAATCAAAATACAGAGGTGAAAAAAGAAAATAGGTGATTCAAGTTGCTACAGCAAAAGCTTGAAAACAAATTAACGTTCCTTATGGGACTGCGTTGGCTTACAACAATGTATTTAAAAATCATGGTGGAAAGGGGTAAGCTCATTAAAGCATATAAAAAATGGATAATTGGTTTTTGATTAGCATGGTTATTGGTTAAAATAACTCACCTACCTATATATTTCGATAAATATTTTGTTACCTATATGAAATCATTATTTTTCATAATTACTAGCTTAACTTTACTTTAGAAATCTGTAAACTGTAAACTCGCTCAAAAAAGATACGATTAATGAAAACGCATCGTTCTAAAAATTGTTAATAGAATGAAAATAATTACCTACCTTTCCAGGTTGCAATACACCGCAACAAGGCTCCACTGAAATCTCCTTACAATTCCCCACAATTTCAAAATGAGCCCTATACTCCAACTTGGACTTCCTCTGGCACGGTTTTTCCATTTCCCTGTCGCGAGCCGTCAATTTCACTTCCATGACCGAATAAGAGCCACAAGGCGTGTCAGGAAATTCGATGATTTGATGTGAAAACTCCAGAAGAGGTCTTTTTAAATTCACTTTACACCAAATCTCGTTGCGACAAACGGTATCGATAATGAGAAAATTATGATAGTCTAGAAGATTGTCGTCAAAACTTCGGCCTGCCAGGTCATGTTGGTTTGTTTTACTCATTTGCGTTATACCTGATATTATCATATAAGTATTGGGCAATAAAGGTAATAAATAATACTAAATTCTTACCAGGATAAGTAAATTTTTTTTCGAAAAACGAACATACTTGAGACATTATAATCATATCACGATTGACTAAGGAATCAGTTGTTTGGGTAGGTTGCTCATGGATATGTTTTTTAAGTACACTAACGGATTCCATAATGCTTCGGAACAGTTCAGTATCGGGAGCTATAAGCTGCTGCAGCGTTACGTCTAGGCCACTCTTGAGCTTTGTGGGACAAATTACCTAAATATAATCATTTTTCGTGGTTCAACCGTGTTTGTTGGCGGTCCTCTAAATACCTTTTTAAGTTGCCCTATGCCAGCAATCGTTGCAACCCGAATTTTGAAAAAATAAATACTACTCCTCAAGCTTCCTATGAGAAAACTGGGAAAATCGGTAATATCTGGACTCATGTATACTCTGAATTTCTTCCTCCGACCAGGATAGATTTTGCAAAAGCCTAAATTTGGTTCCAGAGTGACTGCCTAAAGGAAAAAACAAAGGGTTTTCAGGGATTTCGGGATGCGCTTAGAAAATTTGTCTACAGTTCCATATGAACAAAAACTAAAGCAAATCTGAAAATAGTGTATCGAAAACAAAATTGAAAATAATTTTAAAAAAAATATATTGCAAGTTTCTTCGAAATTTTAGGTCTTTCGGAAGAACCTGGCCTGGGCCCATTCAATTCGCCAATTTTCAATGCAAAATAAAATAGGTACAAGCTTGCGTAGGTATATCACCATCAGTAAATCCATCTTTTCTGATTTGAAATTCTTACTGGTGGTAAATTCACAAATCCACAATACTGCGTCACTTCAGTATTATTATTCAAAGTGAGGTCAAACCATTGAGTTTCATAGGTAGAGCAATCGCCCATGTCTACCAACAGAGTACTCAAGAAGTTACTTAAGCAACTACTAACATTGCAAGACAAGCTCAAGTCATCGGAATTGGTTATGATAGCGTAAACTGGCACCTCAACGGGAGGATAGTCTGATGCTATTTTGGAAACTACACAAAGACGAATAGAGAACTCCAAGATGTTATTAGTTGTATCCAAGCAGGAGCAATGAGATTGTCTCCTAGTTTCCCTAAAATTTAAAATATGAGACTTGAAGATAAAATCAAATGTTTTTATACCTTGGCTGAAATTTCAAATACAGAACCCTCTTGCTCATAGGGCCCAAATAAACAATAGAACTATTTGATTGAACGTATTCCGCCAGATAGCTAGGTACTTTGATAGATATGGTTTGACTGTGTCTTGAATTATTGAAAACCTGAAAATCAACTTGATAACACGAGTTCCTTATGCAGTGGCCAAAATCCAATATTTTTGGTTCTGTTGTTAAAAAATGTCCTGTTGTTTCTGCATGTAGAGATATTAACTTGCATCCTGCAATTTGTAAAGTCTCTCTTGTAGAGTTTTCAAAAACGTTTATTGTGAATTTTTCTAAATAGTCTCCTACATATGAAGCGTTTTTGAAAAATACTTTAATACGTTTTTCCTCCATTTTGTCTAGTGAAAAAAAGCTGGGATGAAATCGAAAATTATTTTCTAAATTTTTAATGCAATCGTCCAGGAGGTCAAAAACATGAGTGTCAGTACTACTCGTAGTGGAGCTTTTTAGTGAACTATTCCCTTTGTCTTCCTCATCTTCTAGGATCAACTCTAGGTCTAGAGGATCAAAGATTTTTTTAATAAAGATTGTGCAAGATTTAGTGCCTCTATTTTGGACCTGAAACAATTAGTATTACTTACGATAAGAGAAAATTGAAGGTAATTTAGTTCTTGCCTTAATTACTTTAGCTCGATCATAGTTTTTGGCCTTCCATATAGGAATATCACCAAAATCAAGAATTTCAGGATAAATTTTCAAATCCAAATATTTCGGCAAACATTGCACGCCCACTTCAAACCGATGATACTGACAAAAGCTGATATTGTATGAAACAAACGCAATGTTTCCGTCGTAAGCTATAGAATCATCATAAGGCTGGAAATTAACAAAAAACTTGATACTAGAGCCGGTGAAAAGCTTTTTGATTCCAAATCTTTCAATTTCAAAGGGTACTGATTCATTTTCATTTGGAAAGGTTAATTCGAGAAATCTGAGTTTTATTACTTCAGTAGAGACGTTTGTTATTTTGATGGTCTTCTTGTAATTTTTGCCTTCTTCATAGCCCTGAAATGAAAATATAGATAATATGTCAATGTATTTGGAAAAGCTTCAATGAACACTTTTTTTTTGTTGATAAATATAGGTAATGTTTCCCAGTTCTTTCAATTTAAATAGGCTTGTTAAGGGTCAGAAGAGCTCTCACACTACACCATTTCCAAATCCAAGCGGCAGTAAATGACATTTAGTAACCTAAATTGTAAACAAACACCAGCCTTCTTATTGGTTGAAACGCCCTACCTGGTGTAATGATCCGAGAAAATAGACCCATAAATCACAATGTCTTCACTGTAAAAATTAAATAATTATGAAACAATCAAAAACTGAATTTCTGATATCTCAAATCAGTATCGATAAATTAAAAATGAAACAAATTAACGCTAACGTATTGCGACACCCAGCCATGTCACCATCTAAATTAAATTCTTAAAAATAATAAAAACGAGGACAGGGTGATGTCATCCTAAAACCCGATCAATGAACTTTTTTTTTAGCAAGGCCAAGTAATTATAAATGATTTATGGCATTCTTGAACCAATAATGTTTTGACCTCGATAAATCAGGATATTGCGACATAATTATTCGATTTAAACTAATAAAATGACAAAAATTTCAAGGAAATTGCATCATCTTAATTGTCATGGACACAGAATTTCGGAAGGGAAAAAAAAAATATAAATACCACGGGTTTTAGAAGAGGAAGGCAGTTGCCAGTTAGCAGATGAGTTGTAGTTGAGAGATGAGTTAACAGTCCAGTCCAGTTTGAGTTAAAGTCTGTCCGGTTTTGCGAAAGTTTTTTTATGGCGTATGGCCTCGGGTTTAATTTAATAGAAAAAGTACGGAAAATTATGTAAGAAATAACATTTGAAATACGTTCATTATTATGTGCGGTCTCTAAGTAATCAAAAGAAATAAATTAGATTATTTTTGTGTTTTATGGACAAAATGTAAGTACTCTATAGTGACCAGATTTATTTTGAATATAAATGATGAACATGACTTTATGTGATTAAACTTTGAATTTTAATGCCTATAAACTTGAGTGATTGTTACTAGAAAAACTTTTGACTATTAATTAACTGTGGAACTTTATTGCATAAATATCAATAACTCGAGTGTTTTTGAAAATGGAACATTATTGCATAACTTTAATTGCCTTCAGATATAATGACATTCTAATTTAATTTTGCACCAAAAATATGAAGGGAACTTTGCATGAATTTAACAATATACAATTTTGAGTTGGAATTATGAATTAAATAGTTGAATTTATTAGCTAGGCATAGCAATCCGAAAATAGAATTTGTTTTGATTAAATAAACTAGCAAATGGAATAGGAAATTTTGAAAGGAAAACTTATGTACATGAAATAGAATTGTTGTCTTAAAAAAATGGAAAGTTGTTAAAGGAAACTTATAATAGAATTTGTTCTGATTAAATAAACTATTAAATGGAATAGGAATTTTCGAAAAGAAACTTGATGTTCATAAAATAGAATTGTTGTCTTAAAATATTGGAAAGTTGTTAAAGGAAATTATTGTTCATGAAATGAATTATGAGTTAGGGATTTTAAATTTCAAGTAGAAATTATTGTAAGGTTTTATAAGAATAAGTTAGTAATACCTATATTGATAAACAAATAGGTAATAATTTTGGGTTTTCATAAGCAGTCAGTAAAGGACTTAGAAATTTTAAAGAATTTATATAAATAGGTGAAGGAATGAATCGGAAGTATTGAAATGAGTTAAGATAAGTTATAAGATATTAGGAATAGTAGGAATAGGGCGTTTCTTATTTAGTAGGGATATTTCAGTGGTCCGTAATAATAACATTTTGAACGGATGTGAAGTAAATGAATTTTAGAAAAATAGATGTCAGAGTTGGGAGATATTTTGATGATTTCAATTTTTGGGTTTTATGTATAATAAAATATAATTTTAGTACACCTCATTAGTTTATTTCTCTCTCTTGCAAATAGACCCTTCCACAGATTTAAGTAGCAGCTCCAAGTAAACAAACACCATCAATATACCGCTCACCATTTACCATCTAACTATTTACATAGAGTACTTGGGGCGTTCAGCTACACTGGACCGGTGCGCATGCACTGAGGACATTTGATAGGTTGTAATGAAAATGACCAGTTTGTCATTTACTGCCGCTTGGATTTGGTTCAACCACAAGGGCGTCCATAGAACATTTTTCAGGGGGGGGGGGCAAAAACCTGACTTATTTTTATGTTTCGAATAAGACCATTTATGAAGGTAACCATACTTATATTACTGAATCAACATAAGCAGTCTAAACTATACTCATTTGTAATAACATCATTTTAAAAAATAAACACACATTGCACAGACAATAGAAGATTTCATTATGAATGACTTTGGCAGAAAGTCGACAAACAAAGTCACATAACCTATAAATAGCATTGTCAATGTTATTACTTTTTTTTTTCAATTTTGGGCTTAAATTTAATAATTATGGCAGTTTTGGGAGAACGTGATATGTTTTATCGAGAGGCGATGAAGCGATGTGTGTTTGGTGATTGTAAAAGTGATAGTCGAATGAGTTCCATTAAATTAACGACCCCATCTGCCTCTACTGGAGTTTTAGGTAACACAGCACCTGTCACATCACTTTCTGTTAATTTTATCAAACGTTTTGCAACCAACGAAGCCATAGCGAATGCACCGAATACTTACGAAAGCGTATAGATTTTACAAGATGCTGTGTTACCTTTGGAGGCAAATGGGGTCGTTAATTTAATGACACTCGTTCGACTATCACTTTTACAATCACTAAACACACATCGCTTCATCGCCTCTCGATAAAACATATCACGTTCTCCCAAAACTGCCATAATTATTAAATTTAAACCCAAAATTGAAAAAAAATTAATAACATTGACAATGCTATTTATAGGTTATGTGACTTTGTTTGTCGACTTTCTGCCAAAGTCATTCATAATGAAATCTTCTATGTCGATTTGACAATTATTATTTATAATAATTTTGGAGCTAAAAATAAAAATTTCGAATTCCTAGACTAGATGCTTAGAAAATAAACACAAAATTTGAATTTTTGAGGGGAAAATAAAAATGTTAAATAGATGTGGAAAATAAACAACAGCCGTATTCAACAAATTCAACATCTTCTTTTAACTTAAGCGATTTTGAAAACTGTCTACAAATTTTTAAAAGTGACAAGTTCCAAAGCGCTTTTAAAGTTAAAAAAAGAGGATGTTGAATACGGCTGTTAATTATAATTTATACATTTTGATTCGATTTATTATTTATGTGCTATAAAGTATAAAAAAATTCACGAAAAAAACGCCTGAAGAAAAAAATGTCGTGTTTTATTCCGAGTGTAAGCAACTTTTAGTATCACTTTTGCTATTCTGTTTTTTTATTCTTCTGGAAGCAATGGTAGAATCATGAAACAAATAATAATCGCCAGGCCTAGGTGGGGGGGGGGCAAGTGCCCCATTTGCCCCCGCCTATGGACCCTGTTCAACCATAGTAGTGTGAAGATCCACCATAAATTACAGGGACTCAAAAAGTGAAAAAGGGGAAAACGGAATGGCTTCCTTCGACCTTAAGGCATCCTTCAAATAAAATCCTGTTTTATAGTCGGTCAAGGAGGCTTCAAGGATCCCTTAAGTCCAAGGTAGGTCTCTAAAGCTACCTTTGAGTCAGCCTTCAGTAAGGGAGCCTTACGGACGCTTGCAAGGAATGACTATAAATTTGACCCTTACTTAGATTATGACGTTTAATGTTGACAATAATTACAACTTAATAAAATTTACCTACTTACCAATGAGTTTTGATCAACAACAACAGGTAGTAAAGGCGGCAGAAAGACAAATACCGATTTAAAATCATGCATTATAAAATAGAAAAAGAGCGTACAAATTTTAAACTTCTCATGGAAATTCCAAACTAGACAAATATTAAACGGAACCTATCACATCAGTTGAATTTGGTTGCTAGTTTGTCAACGAAATATTGTCCCGTAATAATTTGGGTCTGTGTTGTTTTGTTTCAATCATTTCGCAAATGATTGTACAGGGTGTCCCATTGAAGATGGGAATTGGGGTTATCTGCTAAACTCGCAGAGGTAGATTTTTTTTGATTCCACATTCGCGGGCCAATTTTTCATGACGAATCGAATGCCGCAAACCGCAGGTCTCTATCTTGTTTCGTTTTGGAGATACAGGGTGAAATTTGAAATGTTCACTTTTCGAGGGTAGTCATTATCTAGCGTATAAAAAAAGATATCAAAAAGGTGAAAATTGTATCTGACGCAGTTTTTTACGTAGATTTCATTGACGTACTGGATTTTTTTTTCCGAGGTACCGTTCAAGAGATATGGCACAAACTTCATCTTTTTTAAATGGGACACCCTGTAAATTTTTACATTTTCAGAATACGCATAAAATTAGCTTTTCAATGATATATAATTTGTTTATATTATTTTGTAATTTGCTAATATTATTATGGTGTTTGAAACTTTCCATAAGAACCTTTGAAAATCGCATTAAATATAGTTTTATTTTCTGGTTCAATGTGTGAGAAACATCATTTTTTGATATGGGACACCTATTGTTTTTAATGTCGTCAATTGTGCGTTTTCTAATGGCTAAATATACCAATTCTGGAGCCCCACACTCTTCCGAAGTCTTGGCAAACGCAGCCTCTGGTAACATTGGTCTCTTCCTCTGCTCTCTCGCTCCTTCCTGCGGGCCCTCTTTTTGGTCTCGTGTCTGCGTCGCTGTTCTTCAAAAGTTTGTGGTCGGTCGTGGACTACTCGACGCCATTAAGGCCTATCATTTGCCGTCGTCTCTCAGATGCAATGACGGATAAAAACGCAATACCTACCTATGTATTCCCATTGGTCCGCCAGTTATCCGTCGACCACTAGAATTATGGAACGGTAAATTTTCCTTGCAAATAGTTACCAGCAAAGTTTATCTGAATAAGGCCCGGTATATTCATCTTCAGATAAACTTACTAGTAACTATCTGCAAGATAAATTCCCTGATCTATAATCCTATCGGTTGGCGGATAACTGACCGACCAATGGGATTACAGATTGCGTTTTTATCCGTTAGACTGCATGCCATACCTGACAGCTTATCAGAAGATAGATAAAC